ATTTTAAAAAAGTATTTAAAAATAAAAAAAATAATCCCGATCCCCGATTTTTTTCTCCCGATTCCGATCTTTTAAAAATCACGTGATCGGCTCCAATCCCTGATCCCGTGATCGGATCGGGACATCTCTATATATATATCATACCTTGTTAAATCAACAGGTATATTGTCTACTTTCTTGTTTATTTCTAGTCTTTGAATTGTTATTGTACAAATGCCTTGTCTTTTTATGCTGCTGCAACACAAACAATTTCCCATATTGGGATCAATAAAGTACCATCTTATCTTATGTCTGGTGTTTCAACTTAGGTTTGAAATGATATTTTGTCCACAAAGCATATTCATAACATGAACTTACCACCATGTCTTCCTCCTCTTCTTCTTCTTCCTCCTCCTCAGCAGGGGCATCTTCCTCCTCAGCAGGGGCATCTTCCTCCTGCTCATTGACAATATAATGGATATTTATTTAGTTTTGCATGAAAAATATTATTTTTTAAAAAGGAACATGAACTTAAAGCATTGAAGCTTCAGCTCAAATAATAATAATGCAGGTATAATTAAAATCAACGTATATAACCAACAAACCAATATAAAATGCCGGTGTTACACCCAGAGGTAACCTGTGACCAATCACAGTAAAATGAGACATCAAGACACCTTGACAAACGTTAATTAATGTGTTAATATTTAAGCTCCGAGTCATATCTTCAGAGAAACCGACACTCAGCTCGTTACAGCGCAGATAACGTTAGTGTTGCTGTTAGGTAACATTGACCAACAAATAGCCCTACAAAAAAAGCGTTTTTTAGAAACGTATAGTTATTTTTCAGTACCTCCTCGTCGGGGTCATCGTACTGGACCATCTTCTTCTCGAAACCCATGATTACTCCTCTAAAATGTACAAAGTATCCCCACAGAGGACAGAATTCAGAACTCGTCTGCGGCACTTTTCGTTAAGGACGTAAGGTCGGTCACAAGCAGGAAACAACGAGCTGACAACCGGAAAGCGTTTACGATTGGTGTAAAGTGATAACTGAGGGGGCTTTGGTCCAATCATTGAATTGCATTTTATGTAAGCCCCGCCTATACAGGCAGTCAAGGCAAGTGGAACCTTTGTTTTGGCTGACGGAGCGGAGACGGACCAAAAAGATAGCAGCACGGCAAGATGGCGCTGCTCATGGAGACCAGACTGCTGCTGAGAAAAGTTAAAGATTTAAGATGTCTAACGCAAAAACGTCACCGAGTGAAGGAAAAATGGGTATGTAGTGGATGCAGATATAGATATAGCCGATCATGGTCGTTATCTGTAAAACTGTTTCTCCCTTTGAGGTGTTAAATGAACTTCATGTCCTAAGCCATCCAGAATATATGCTATAGCAATATAGAGTAAACGTTTAAAATGGATAGATTACATTTCCACTTGCATTACTATGGTGAACTTAATCAATGAGAACTTGATTGAAGTTAAACAAACTGTGTTAAGATACATGACATTTTCAATTTTCTTCTCTAGCTAAATATGCATCATTCAGTATTGTTTTCCCATAGTTTACTTATTATGTGTATAATTGTATTACATTTCCATTACATCACAATACATTTTCATATTTCAAAGAATATATAACTTTGCACCAACATGACCTTTAAAACCCTGCATTAAGCCAATTTGTTTAACTTAACTAATTAAACTAACACATAAACAGATACGAACATCAAAGCATGTAACCTGTGTTTTTGCCCTCCCTCCTTTCCGACAGGCTGCCACACGGATCAAGCACCCTGCCACCGGTCTGGCCCTGCAGAACTTCGATTCCACCTACAGCGTCCAGCTGGGGCCGCTGTGGCCGTCTGTCCGAGCCGCCCTGCTGTCAGAGAGGAAATACGGTGCCTTGCTCAATAACTACGGCCATGATGATGTTCAGGCAGAGCTCCAAGCCAAGGGATGCAAGGATTTCCCCAGTGACATAGAAACAGAAGGTGGGTGTGCATTTCTCCTCTTCCTACGATGCCATATCAAGCATGGCACGCAGAATTAAAAACAAAACAAAATAAATCATGCCATTTGTTAGGGCTGCACATATATTTAGTTTTTTTTTAAATCGACTTGGATATTGACATTTCCTTTTTCACGTTTTTTCTATGCCTTTTTTCTTTTGGGTCAATTTGTTCATGGAAAATTGATGTTTGAAAAGCTTTCCTTTTTAGATTTATTTTATTCAAAGGGTGTACTGAAATCAGATGAAAGTGGAGGTTAGAATTTAAAATACACAATATAACACGTTGTAATTAACACCAGAGGCCTGAACAGGATAAAAAAAAAAAAGAAGAAACACAAAGTAAGAGTTAATCAAATCCATTAGCATAATAAAATAGCAGCAGCTCAAGAGTTATGTTACATATCAAATACATATTAGTTCATATCGTTATATACTAGAATTATGACATAAACCAGAACGTTTGTTATTTACCTATTTTCCTTGAACATTGTGTATGAGAGAAATGGCACATTTTAAAGGAAAGAAAATGGGGAAATAAATATAAAAAAGCCAATTGCAAGTATGTCTTCTTTTAAAGTCATATTAAACTCAATCTTTTTCTATGTTGTTTAAAAAGCACAATTTGAAAATGATCCATTCTACTTCCTTCATTGGTTCTACAGCCCAGCCATACTTGGAGCAAGAACCAGAAGTGGCCGGTGAGGAGGAGTCCACTCATGTTTCTGTGAATAAATCTGACCTTGATGCTCGGCAGCTTCCTGCTCTGCAGCTCAGCCCCAACATCAAGTGCTTGGTGTTTCCAAGAGGGGACATCACACGATTCAAGCCTGCTAGGTAAGCTTATCTGTTAGTTATGGTCAATTCTTAAGGCCTTTTTAAAGCTCTGTATTTTATAATTCAATAATATATATATTTTAAAATGGTGCAACAGTCAACAGGACAGTTTATATCATGTCAAATGTCTTACTCAAAGTGTATTCTGATTCCTTCTTGTCCTTTTTGTCCTCTAAAGACCAGACATGTTTGGGTGTTTGGGTTACTACCTGATGGACGCAGCCTCTGTGCTGCCTTGTCTCGCACTGAACGTCCAGGAAGGTCACAATGTGCTTGACCTCTGTGCTGCTCCAGGAGGAAAGACCCTGGCTTTACTTCAGACCAAGTCTATAGGTAAGAGGGCTTCTCCCATCCTTCTGTTTTCCTCACACAGTGCTTCTGTCAGCTGTAATTAACCCTCCATCGGCTGCATTCAAAGGTTTTTTCGGCGTAAATGACGCCTCCGTTTCTCGGACAACGAGACTGAGAAAAGTCTTGGGAAGCTACGTTCCCAAGCCGCTTTTGTCAGACGAGAAACTACGCATCACCACCTTTGATGGGACCAAGTGGGGGGAGATCGAAA